TTCCTTTCGTTCCTACCTCAGCTCAACTACTGTTCCTTGTCAGCCTTTCAAAAATTTGTCTCAATAGCTACATTAGAAGTTGCAATGGTTCAGTCGCAAACATTCTGACGCTCTTTGTTAGAGGGAGCACCTCCTGCTCGGGGAATCCCTAGCGAGGGGGTCGTATTTGCTTCCAAGAGAAATTTTCCCGGTGGGTAGCCTTTCTGGGTTTTCCGGTTTTTCCCGTTTTGCAAGGGCTACTATATACCGCCCCGCTCTAGAGTAGTTTTTCTTGAGGAAGTGGAGAATTTTCAGGAAAACTTCGGAAAAGTGGTAGGGTGCTGAGGAAATTCAAGAAGATCGTCGTAGGTAGGATGGGGAGATGAGGAGGAGGGGGTCGTATCAAAGGAGGGAGTGGTCGTTGTCTGCAAAACTTTCTCCTAATGGCTGGACGTGCATTGATGTAGAAGATTTCAATAAATTCCAAAAAGAACAATCACTGTTCAATGCGAAATGAATTCGTCACCCATTTGCACTTTGTCATCGGTCGATTAAATTTTAGTTCCAATTGCATTGAGAGCTACAGCATTAGCATATATCCGTCCGAGCATCAGGACCCACACATACACACATATATACACACACACACACACACACACTCTCTCTCTCTCTCTCTTCCTCTCCCTCTCTCTCTCTCTCTCTCTTTCCTTTCTCTCTCTTTGAAACCTGGGTCTACGAAGGAGTTGAACTTACTCCCTTTGAATCCGTAGATCTAGACCTCCTGTTTTTCTTTACACTCTCTCGTCCGTATGGCATTCCACTGCCACTGTGACGTCACGAACTGCAGCTTCTCACAGATGATAAGTGGCTCATCCACTACGAGGTGTACTGCCCTAGAAAAAGCCCGTATACTGGTTTACCACATGTTTCTTGCACATTTCGATCGCTCTGGCGGCAGCTGTCCTCAATTTGTCCGTGTTACATGGTTTTGCAACAGGACCATGCACAAAAGTTCGAGCTGTCCCGTAACACTGAAACTTGACATCTTCGGTGGACTAGCACCACGTACTTCAGTTTTGAGCTCGAGTCTACCCATATACGGTCATTCGTGTTCAAGAGTCAGACTAAGCCGGGACAAAAAAGGTAACCGAATCTACCGCCAACGAATTTCGATCAAAATCTAACGGGAATCTCGAACAATGAGGAGTAAACTTGTTCTCTGATGTACTGCTGTAGCCAGAACCAAAGGGGAAAAGTGTCCCATTTTCTGCAGTTGAAACAGTTGAAAATAGTCCTTCACTATCAGAGGTCAGGGCTCATCATTGGTTGCGGATCACGGTCGAGTTCGTGCGACCCTGCCCCCCCCCCCCCACCATCCTACTTCTTTCCTCTGATAACATCGAAGTGTCGAGTGGTACGCCCCCCCCCCTCTCCCTACAACGGGTAAAAACGACCCCCCCCCCTCCATGGCCTCCGTGAAGCGAGAAGAATCGCCCATTAGCAAAAGAAATTTTGTAGACCAAATGCGACCCCCCCCCCCAGTTGGTCCCCAACATGATGTGTCCTGAGGAGGTAATCCACCAAGCGGGACCCAACTGTTCTGCTCTGTATGTTCAGTACTCAACATCCAGCTCTCATCCCCTGTAATGAGTTTGGGTTGTGGGGGCACAGAGCAAAGACTGACAGTTGTCAACGTCAGTGGCAAGTAGCTGGGGAATGATATTTTCTAATTTTTTGGCTCACAACTGCTGTACTTCTTCTGTTAGTTCAGTGTAACGTTGTACATGCGTAGAGGATCACGCTGTTCAGTGTTTTGTCGATCGAAATCTTTAAACAGTAAAGTTTTTGTCTGGTGTAATGCTATGGCCGAAAACAAAATGTGACATCGATTTTATTTGGCTCCATGTTAGCTTCGACTTGGAACATCTCGCTTCCGGCTAAAGCAGTACATCGGAGAAGACCTCAAAGCAGTACGTCAAAGAAGACCTCGGGACTTGTAGGATTTCGAAGATGGGGGCGGGAAATCCTAACCAACCTTATGCATAAGTACGTATTTCTGAACCACTATTGGAGTCGGGATCATGGGGATCGAATTGCCATCATTCGTTAAAAGCCCCTTTTTTCCACAGCGATCTCTAGTAGTGAGTCGAAGGGAAGATAGTGTAACACCTTGATTGAATTAACCTGCAAAAAAGCACAAGCTGCGTTCATACTTTGCAGAAGCGTTCATCATCGTCTAGCGTGTTCCCAGGTCCGGCAGCGTCGGCGACTAGGAAAGCATAGATATCGACCTAGCGTCTGCCAACGTCTGCAAGCGTCCACCAGCGTCCACCAGCGCCCCCAGCCTCTCGAGGGCTAGGGAAGTACAGATATCGATCTGGTGTCTACCGGCGTCTTCCAGCGTCCATCACCATCTAGCAGCTCCCGGGATTGTACAGTATGGCGCGATGAGGGTAACAGACAGCTGGTAGAATATGGGGAATTAGGAGGGTAGCAGACTGCTGGTAAAGAATTAGGAGGGTAGTAGACATCTGGTAGAGTACGGGGAGATACGAGGGTAGCAGACTACTGGTAGAGAATATGGCTCGATTGGAGGGTAGCAGACAACTGATGACCTCCTATCGCACCATACTATCACCAGCAGTCTGCTGTTGGTCGCTTGTGAACGCTGGAAGACGCTGGCAGACGCCGGCAGACGCAAGATCGATACCTATACTCTGTCGTTCCTTCGTCTAGAAAGTCTTGCCATTCACAGCCCTTTTCCCTTGTTACCGTCAGATATAGGTTGTACCATTGGGTTCTGGGAATTCATGCGTTTGAATGTCGCACTTCGTTTTGTTGTTTTTTTTCGAGTTGGGCACCGCGTTACACAATGAAATTGCGTGAGACATTTCACAGGAAGTGCCAGTCGAACCTTCCTTCCATTTATTATACATTTCCGCATTCCGTTTTTCCGCGTATTGCTTCCTAGCATAGCAGCAAGCTACCATTTTTCAACCAGAGCACTGCTGCACTGAATTTCTGTGTTAACTGACAACGGGGATGGGAGGAACTGTGTTTATACTACGCCTTACCCTTCCCCCACCCCCACTTTCCTCCTTCACTTTACTCTCTTCACTACACACCGTCTTCCCAAGTGATACCACAATTCTGCCGCCGAATGAGAGATGGGTATAGCATCGTCGGGGGATTGCCGTAGGGTGAGGCTCTTGTTCGGTGCAAAGTGGGACGTCTCGGGAGGGTGGTCGCATCAGGCTTAAAGCGAAACCTTCTGAGCCGCCAAGGAAATGCTTGCCGTTGTTGATTTCCCGCACTTTTCTCCCCCAACCCCCTCCCTCGTCCACCTCTATATAATCGCTATTTGTGATAGTGATTCAGAGGAGCTCTCCCTCGCTCAACTGCAGTTTTCTGGGGAAAATCTGTGGTAGGGATTTGGAAGAATTTGGTGGAGTGGTAAGTAAGCTGTGAGACAGGGGTCGTGGAAGTCATCCATTCCGATGCTGTACCTTGCTGTGGAGCGAGCGAATCCTCCGATCAGGTAAGAAATGGTAAAATAGTACTTTCGCCACGCCCGCTAACTAGGGTCCAAGAGGATATACTCTCCTACCCCTCGTGAAACTGGGAAAAAAAAACTACAATCAGACAAACAAATCCTTCGAGGTCAAATACGACCATTCCTCGCCCAGCGACCAAACACCGACCTCACTAAAGCATTTCGCTCATGTTCTCATAATTCTTGCCTCCTTAACGACCACATACAACCCCTTGATGTCGATTTCATAACAGTGCTTTTCATTTAGATCTCATTGTGATGGGAGCTATTGTTAGCCACACAAGGAACGATCGAAGGCAAATATATGGTGGTAAAAACTATGGGCATTCAATAAGGGCATAATCGTCATTGTTCCGTGCATAACCAGAGCTAATCGTTCCTACTTAAACTGATATGATACTGATAGTGCTGACATGAACCTATATGAATGATCCGAGAGTCCTGTGTATCCGACAGGAGAGCTTTTGGTTCGCTGACCAGCAGGTTTAAATGGAGTACACAGCCACGCCCTTCTTCTCTACGGGTTACGAACTGCATATCTTCGACACTGTGTGGGTATGTAGATGTGTGTGTCGATCTATGTTTCGGTGTGTCATGGGTCTTGAGAAAACGCAATGTGCACGGACGTGTGCAATGTTTGAGGCTGCATAACAAATGACTAAGCAAAATAAAACAAAAGCCCCTAAATATTTGTTTATTCTGCCCAATATTTCGAATTTCAAGGCTAAGTCTCAATTCGTCTAGAAATTCATCTTTGGGGGTAGCTTGACTCCTTGACGCATCACAGGGAGGCGAATATCGCAATCATTATGCAGGACAAGTTACTGCACAGCTCTCAGGGCACTTAATCCCTTTGAAAAGCATGCGCGAGGGCTAGTCCTTTACTCTATATTCACTACGAATAGGTGACTTTTCGAATCATTCTTTGCGAATCGGGCGCTGTCCAAGTCAGACGCTTGCACGGCTGAACGGTGGTGGGCGTGTTGCTCCTAAAGTCGTGTGAACTGTGAAGCTACGCGATGCGGTTGCCTTCCTGCCAAGTTCACATTATTTGAACCGATGCAAACTGCATGAGGCTGCGTTCATACTTTGCGGCAACGTCCACGGGTGAACAATAGCGTCCATCGACGTTCCGAGCGTCCGGCAGCGTCAGCGACTAGGAAAGTATGGGTATCAATCTAGCTCTGCTGGCGTCTATCATTGTCTGCCAACGTCCACCAGCAACCAGCAGCAGACTGGTGTTAGAGTGTACGGGGCGATAGGAGGGTACCAGCTGTCTGCTGCCCTCTTATCTCCCTTACTCTCCACTCCCGGATGCTGCTGGTCTCTGCTAGAGGTTGGTGGACTCTATTAGACGATGGTGGACGCTGCCGCAAAGTATGAACGCAGCCTAATTAATATGCATTCTCATCTGTATCATGTAGTATGTCTTGAGATGTGGCAATGCTGATGGAGGGTTTGAATGTGCATGGAAAGTGGACCATGTGCACAGTCCGGAATAGAATTCGTAGGTGATTGATTTTGCCCAGCCCGGCCACTTTTTCATCAATCAGATGCAAGATATTATGGCAGTAAAATGTCGGAAAGAATGTAAATTGTTCGTTTCTTTTCACTTACAATCGAACAGAACATTATGCTTCATCAGTCCCATCAGACTCGTCAGTGAAATGGAACTGATGGATCCCAAGACGTTTGAGTGTTCCGACGTCCGTTAGTTACTGCTCACGTTTGTGAGATTTATAAGAGACCAAATACCACACATCTGGTAGGTTTCGTACAACGATGACGTGTGCTATTCAAATGCTTCTTCGATTCAGTATATGCGATTAGTATGCGTAACGCATCACAAAGAGAGACTGGTCAGCGTTGAAAGCATTAATTATTTCTCCACACGCAGGGAATGACTAGATAATTTTTACACACTCTAAAATGCGCACAGATTCTTGGTAAATCTATTACACCAGATTTGTTGGACGCAGTGGGGGGGGGTAGCGAATGGTACACAGCCGGGATTGTACAGAATACGTGAGGGCCTCTGAATTTCTGTGATTAGAGTGGATCACTGAGCAATTTCGCAGTTTCACGGACATTACCAATCTGAGCAAAGTGCGACTTGCTAACCGACAGGAACCAACAAAAGGAACCAGCGAAAGGACAAAATGCCCCCTCCAAGCAGATTTGGGTGTTTCCTGCTCCTCTCTCAAATCGTTGCATTTCAGCCCTCAGCTTATTGAGGAGCAAAAAGCAGTACTATTTCGCCATCGATGAACTGAACGGCCAACTACTCTACTACAAAGAGGAAGCTGATTTGGTTGCTAAACGTGAACCTATTGGGGCTCTTCCATTAGCAAATGCTGCATTTACAATACTTGAAGGAAATGATAGGACTTTCGTGCTACAGTAAGTAGTATCATTCCACACTTTGTGTTATATTATACATTTTACTAAATTATTCGATATGGCCTACGATTATGTTTCAGCTGTGGCGAGAAAGTAGTCGAATTAGAAGCACCTAATCCTGAAAGTTGTGAATGCTGGTTAGAAGCGCTATCACACAGGTTCGTTTCATCACGACTGTTCATCAGTCCGGCTTTGACGGCCATGGGCACGATGGCTGGGAGCGGGGGTTACTGCTAACGTCATTGGTGGAAGGGCTGCAAGAGGGTATTCGGTCCCACCCCACCCGGCCCATCCACCAGTGACGTTGGCGACAACCGCACGCCCCCAGCCATCGCGCCCAGGTCTTTGATATGCGCACGGATTATTGTACTCCGTTACCCATTTCCGGCCTTCTGCACAAAATCTAATGATGCTAATTCCCTGCTGCATACTCAGGCAACTTTTCGATTTCATAAGGGCTGCGCCATTCACGTGCGCATTGTCACCTGGAACGCTAAACAAACATTCCACCGTGTGGTCAGGCGTCCGATGGCTGGTCGGCTCATCCGATTCTGTGCACTGTTCCGCTAGATCTTGTTAGAGGCAGTAGTGCCCACTTTGATACAGCCGTGACTAATCCTAGCGTAAATCGTGCGCCACAGGGGGAAATATGTATGGCTCTTAGCCACGATGGCTGAAAATGGCGTAAAGAACGAATCTTTTGTCTCAGTCTTCCATAAAAAAGCGATTTAGTGTTTCCAGTTATGGGACGGGTTATACATGGTCAATTGGGTGGCCAATGCGGGTTCCCATATGGGATATGAGGTAAAAGCAGGTCCGCGATAAGAAGCGTAGGTAGTGGCGTTGGAACGTGGAAGAGAAGCTGGTGGCTCGTCCAAGAAGAGAAAATGGCAAAGGAAACGTCAGCAACGCCTTCAATAGGGTCCCTCTGGCCTCAAACAGTTGTATGGGTAAACGTCCAAAAGACCGCGCGTTGAGACAAGCCTAATCGGCGGATTACTTGTAATGAGCCCTATGACCCCCTAAGAAACGGTCGAGCATCCATTCCATGCTATCTACCCGGTAGAATCGGTTTTTGCTTGAAGGCAGATTCTGAAGGCGGAGCTGGAGGCGAAGTCACTTCAAAAAGAGAGGTGTCACTGCAGCAACTTTATTCCTTAACTCCTTTACCTTACAACTTTCCACTGGCACAAGATTGTCCACTGTAGACCACACTACCCTTCCCACACAATCTGTTGCCTTTTCGTAGGTGATTGCAAGCCGCTCTCCCGGAAGTTGTTGGTGATTCTGTCCTTATTGAAGATACATGCTTTTTCGGTGCTATGTGTTTGCTTTCGCTTGATGCTCGTTTGGCTAGTAAACAGCTCCCAGCACAATGGGATACGATTATGACCATCCCGAGCGGTGTTTTCGATGATGTACCGCTTCGTTCCATTACACCATCACAAAAATCCATGGCCCCGACGGGAAGCTGGAATATTCATGAACCAACCACTAGCTCCCTTAGTTACAATTACATCAAAGGCAGATTCAAAAAGCGATCGAGACCGGGATAAGAGGTTAACAACTAAGTCAGGGGATTTTCCTCATTGTTTGTTTGTCTCTCCATTTGGCTCCTAAGGAAAAACTTCAAAGAAAGGGGAAATAAAGAAAAAATATTGGAAATAAATAAAAACATAGGCGACTATACAGCCCATATCTCGGCGGCCCCTTGGAGCGTGTCAGAGGGTGTGGTTTTTGACACCAGCGCTTTCAACCAGTAGCTGCCGTCCTGACCTGGCAACAACGAAAACAAAACTTACTCTGTACTTTGTCCAAAATGTCGCGAAACTTTTTTTTTATCTTTTTCTTCTTGTCTTCGAATCGTTACACGAAATCAGAACGCGCCTTATATTGGGGGAAGTATTGTAAAAATGGCCCCTCGTCTAAGGTTCATCATCTGGTACGGCCCCTTTCCTACCCTACTCGCCGTATTTTTATGTTTGGCTAGTTTCCTTTTATTTTTTTCCGGGAACTTGAGTGTACCAGTTATTTTGCACCCAATCTGTATATTAAAAGTGAGCAATTAAGTGTAGTACCATTGACTCTGCATGTATTACAGGGCTTTAACATCTCAGCGAAATCGCAGACGTCGATTACGTAGCCCAAGAGTGCGAAAGGAACGCAAGAAATGCTTATCAGTATGCAACTTGTGACACTTTTGCAGTCTTCGCTGCGTACTCAGGGCGTGTCAGGAGGCTGTTTGGCAATAGACCAGCCCCAAGTTTCACCAGTTGTCGCTCGCCTCCTTCAACAACTGACTGAATACAAGCTGGCGCCAAACCCATGCTCCTGACACGCCCAGTGTCCGCAGTATGCATGACTGTAGATCTCTCTATTGTTTATCACTACATCCTTATGACACCTATTGGACCTATTGCAGGACTGCGAAGAAGGTCCTGTCGACGACTACAGTCTTGTCCCTCCACTAAGCGGGCGGAAATGTGAGCTCGTTTTGTGACTATTAATTTCTTTCATTACAAAACCATGTTTTCTATCCAGTGTATTCAGAACTTGATGATTTGCCCTGAATTAACCCTAAAGTATTTCTGTCTACTAAAGTCTCACCTACCCCCGATTTAAAGACAGCTCCCGCGATAAAAGTGTCAAGGATAATTGCTGATCAATGAAACATGAAACAGTAGCTGATGAGTAATTCCTCAATGAAAGAAAAAAGAAACAAGAGCCCTCAAGAGCACCATAACATAAACAAATCGCGCCCTGACAGTCACACCTCCCTGCGGTTCACACCTCCCTGCGGTCTCTGTGCAAACCCTGGCTCACAAATAACTTTGTCACATCTCCCAGTAGTGGATACCATCGAGTGCCAAGAAAAGAAAACAAAAAACAACAGAAACATAGAGGAAAAACTCTTGGAAAGGAAATGAAACATGTAAAAAGCCGGCGTCCGAACTTTGGTTACGGTAGCGAGCGTGTTTTAGTGTGGTGAAGTGCGTCGAGCTTTTGCACCACAGAAATTGCATCATTCGTGATTTTTACGCGTTTTACCTTACGAGATGGGTTGCTGTACGTGCTCCCAATGAATAAAATGTGATGAAGGAGAGCAGAATTATTCACGAGCATGAGCGCGGTCAGCAAAAAATACATGCAGTTCCGATTAATGACTGCCGTCCCAACAAGGAACAACTGAGCAGGCGTTAGAACTAGAACTTTGAGCGGTTCTAGCTAGCTCCTCGCTCGCTGAGGAGTCGCGAGGGTGAGACAGTATCTGGCTCGGGGGCTAAACTACCTGCCCAAGGAAGGACGACCATGTATTACTTGAGCGCGGGGGCTGTCTTTAATTCTATTGCGGAAATAGGCAGAATTGAGTAAATACGTCAAAACTGGCTATAGAACGGAGGAACACATTGAGGGATTGGAGTCGTGTTTTTTTCTGTGTTGCCAAAAATTGCTCAGTTAGGGTAAGGAAAAACAGTTTACCAAACTAATTACTATATCAATCTTACAGTGCATTTATTTGGATGCCCCTTTTTAAGTAATTAGCGTGGATAGACCATTAACTAAATGTGTGATAAGAAATGCCCTATTGAGGATAATTATCTGTTAGCACGGACGCCTTTTGATCTGCTCAGTGAGTAATCGAGTACCACCAGAGTGCAGAGTGCTGCTGATCTCTGTTTATCTTCCGTTTTGTAGAAGACATTCCCTGATATTTGATTTTTTCCAATTCAGACTCCTGCAGCGCAAGTCACATATCAAGTGACATGGCACTGTCAGTGTTAGAGAAGAAATTTAACGACCTGGAACCACTGGGCCGGTCGCACAGCAGTGGAATTGAAGATGGAAGTACAGACAGGGTTCTTTCAGAGGTAAGTGTCGTTAATTGCCTACAGTGTGCATCAGCCTAATTCAGTACAGTAATGGTTCGTACAGGCGAGCAGTTCAGTCATGATCCCAAATGATAAGGCGTCCGACGGGGACGTGGTTTGGTGCGCGGCCAGATCAGATTCCCAGCAATTCCAGCGGGATAGGATGGCAACATTGGTGGAAAAAGGAACCCTGGCTGCGTTTCAATACGCGCTGCGTCACACGCTCTGTCGTTGATTTGTGCAAGTGTGCCTCCTCCGGACAGGACTTTTTCTCAAGCAAGCTCATGGGTTTCCTTGATTTTGACCTGTATCCCTTGACTGTTTCACTAAATATCCACTTGTTGTATGTGGTCACTGCCCACGAAATCACGAGTTTGCTCCATTGGCGAAGAATCTTCGTTAAAACCCCTGTTTATTGCGGTTTTTTCAACAATACCGGCAGATCTGTGCAAATCTCTGCTAGCTCTCGTTTTTAGAGAAAAATCCTGCATGGCGCCAGTTAGAAGCCTGTCACTAGTAAGTCTCGAAAGGTAAAAGCGAAACAGAACTATAACAAGGTCCTTGCTGACGGTATTATTGTATGAATTTTCTGGACCCGATGGTTAATGGGTACCCTTGTCCTCTGCCTACCTAATTACAGCTGGCTTGCAAATCGTTCACTGCTGGAAGCCATATAACATTAGAAAAAAAGTGACAGAAAAAGTAGAAATTAGGTACATAACAAAAAGTAGTTCGCGGAAGCTCCGTAGTCAGCTGAGGATAACGGTAATCCGACGAGATATTACACCAATCAGTTGCATCATTGGTGCACCAAAATTCATCTTGCGCACGAGCCCGGTCATCAGAGCTTGACACGCTGGGCCAGGATTGACCACCGCCGTGCCACCAACCAAGATCTATGTAAGATAACCTCATAGTTAGCAACTTCGGAGATGGGCGGAGCCAAGACAAACGGTATGAGCCCGCCTTCGACCTCCTTGCCTCACAAGTGGTGATATAATAGGTCAGTGATCGATTCAGGAGAAAACAAAAGATGGAAGCGCCGCGGGTGAGCTCATTCCATCCTGTCGAGACCGCCCGGACTGATCGCGGCGATATCAATGGTATGTGTAGGATGGATTTTGGTAAAGGGCGATCCACTGAACACGGATGTCTGACCTGCGACTTATGACTACCGAGACACCCTCGTCACTCACTGTGGAGTCGCAGAAGGGGGACTTTTCCCGAGGCCGGTGTACTTGTGCAAGGAAGGATTTACCGATTGTTTGAGCACGGAATCTTCCTCTGAAAAAAGTAGAGCGTGGCTCTGAACCTTCCATACCAACACACAAACGCATTAAGGGCAAAGCCAAACTTCGCAGAGAACTTCAAAACGCATTATTGTGAGTTTCAGCTCGCTGACGGGAATCTCGACGATTGGGTCAGTAAATGGTTGGAGCAGCAGAAATTCTCCCGAGATGATCCAAGGTTCACTATCTCACAGTCACCTACACTTTTTCAACACTTTGTTACCAATCCTATCAGAACTGCTTTTTGTAGAATTGACTCAATGAATTCCTCTACAGCAACGTCACCATATCGCAGCGCTGAAGGATCGACAACTGGAAGTGAACGGTTCTCTTTCCTGAAAGATTTATTTAATTTGCTATACATCTTCGCTCTCCGCAAGCGATTATCCTGTCCGTGGGGGAGCTGTGGAGTATCAGGGTGGACGGTGGGTTGAACGTGGCGTCAACCTGCTCTCCAACCAATGTTGGAGAAGGACAACAGCCCATAGTAAACAGGCTGTTGCTGCGCCAAATCCTCCCTGACACGTCGCAGCATCCTCAGAGTACAAGACTGCAGATCTCCAGAGACAGAAAAGAACGTATAAGGTCGACTGCAAGTTAAACAAACTTCAGGGCTAGCAACGAGGAACTGCACCATCTTCGGTTTATAAGCAATCAGCAGAAGAAGCGAATCCATGAGTTACTCAGAGAAAAGGCAGTACTCAGAGACCAAGCAATCATATCGCGGTAAGTTTTGCAAGCTGGGTGGAGGCCTTCAAAAAAATTCATTTTGCTTGTGAAGTGCGCCATGGAAAGGTACATCGCACAGGTGGAAAGGTTTATGGAAGACAGCTTGTAGAGACCCCTGAAAAATCCCGTCTCGATACCCATGAATAAATTTCACAAGAAAAATCTGGCGGACTCATTGCAGGCAGCGGACCCTCGACAGTACGGCCGATGTGCGAGACACCGTGGTGTCCCAAAACCGTTTTCTCAACTCTGAAATTATTCGACTAAATCGACAATGCTGCGAAATGCAGGAAGATATATCACGTCTTAGTCGGTAAGTATACTTCTTCCCAAGTAAATTCTGCAAATTTTCGAATTATCAAGAAAGGATGTTAGGTCAAAAACCGTTGTAAATGATATGCATGTTATCTGAAGTGTCTTTGGAGAGTGATTACGAGACCTTCATGACTGCTGCGGAGAAAAGACTACGGTAGTTCCCAGGGGATCATACCTGCGTCTATACACACTTCGACCGCTATATTTATATGACCTTTGAAACAATTAGTATCAAGTTACAAACGAATTGCAGACACGAGGCTAACAATAAATTCGTGCATTGAAAACTTACGCCCGATATTAGTGTTGAGTGTGGATATGGTCCCCCATAAAATCTCTCTCCCGACTTTATGTAGAGGTGTCCACAGCAGTTATGGATTAGTACGGTAGTGGTTCCTGCAAACGATAGGGCGTGGAACGGGGCGTGGTTTGGAGCACATCCTGTGTAGCCTTCCTTACCAGTAGCAGCGGATTCGAAATGGCATCAATTGTTGGAAAGATCTCCCCTGCACTTTTTTTTCACGCGCTCTCAAACGCCCTATCTTTTGCAGGGATCATGACTTTCGTTCGGTACTTTGCAGCAGCACTCAATAGCTAGCAATAGCGTCCACCGGCGTTCCGAGCGTCCGGAAGCGTCAACGACTAGGAAAGGATAGAGAACAATCTACCATTCACCAGCGTCTCGAGGGCTAGGGAAGTATAGTTATCGATCTAGCGTCTGCCAGACAAGCGTGCAACAGCGTCCACCAGCGTCCGGGAGAGGATAGTACTCTCTGCCACCTGTCTGCTACCCTACTATCGCGCTATACTCTCTACGAGCAGTCTGCTACCTTCGTATCTCCCCATACTCAACCAGCTCTCTGCTACCCTCCTATCGCGTCATACTCTGCTCTCCCGGTCGCTGGTTAACGCTTGCAGACGCTAGACTGATATCTATATTGTCCTAGTCGCTGACGCTGCCGGACGAACGCTGGTGGTGGAGGACGCTATTGGTCGCTGGTGGACGGTGCCGCAAAGTATGGACGCATCTTAATAGTCATCTGAAGACGCACCGATAGAATATACACCTTGTTTCAAGAGACCGGTTTGATGAAGCACCTTTCACTGATAGCCAGTCTTCTTTTCTAAGGGTGAAAAAATAAAGAATGACCACTTGTGTGGCTTTATAAGTTTCAGTAAGAAGTCTGCTGTCTTTTTCCGTACCTAGCCATTTTCAGGGAGCTTCGAGAAGCACGAGAGGTGATAGACCGATCCCGGAGAGAATACGTTTTCGCTCTTCAATCAGCGATCCGTATACCATTGCAAGATAACAATGCGCTTGATGTGATGCATGTCAAGCTTCTCGGCGGAGATATGGTGCTTAAACTGACGTTATAATATGTAGTTGTTCCTTTGCTGAGTAACAAATGTTATTCAGCACAAGCACAGAATATGCCAGTTGATGAGCGAAGCTCGAGCCAATCAGCCCAGTCTACCCACGTTACAAAGGTTCGTTGAAGAGTTAATAACAAACCAGACCTGGTCGACTGTAAATGGCCACCCCCCCCCACCCCTTCGATGACACTTTGTTTTCATGTACCGGGGGGGGGGCAAAGAAAGAAGATTTTTTTTCTTCCTCGAGTTTCGAGGCGCTATAAGTTACACTTTAGTAAATTCTTATCAGACATTTCTACCACCACTTAAAAGAGCATGTTAAATACTATCATGATACTCCGCCACAGCCCTCTGGAGGAGAGCCATCGAGAGATTCTGCCACGCGACCGTCAGTGGGTGCGTGAGTTCAACGAGATCGTTGATTTTTCCGCCACTGTAGACCACCCTATTGAACTCCACCCGAACCAGGTAATTGAGGAGGTTTAGATGAGGTGACCTGCTTAGATATTCCCCCTTATTCAGGTACTCAACGCCCTTCCATTCCAAGTAGGCAAGAGTTTTCCCAACGCCTTTTGATCCCATGTGGTGTACCCAATCCTGTAGCAGTACAAAGTTTCCAAGAAGGTACGGGCGACGACATGTGGAGAGGACATTCTTCTCGAGTTGCTCGATGTAACCGCCAACGCTCACCTTCAGTCCGGGGCCCACGAAGAAAATATCGGTCTCTCCATTCCAGGTATGTCCGGTCCCCACCATCAACTGGCGCCTTGGCGACTGAGGTGAAGATGATGTCCTAGACCGTAGCGACGTTGACAGAGCTGCTAGATGATGGAGGTCTTCCAGATCGAGAGTAATGCTCTTCAGGTAGCTATCCATGGGTGACTCCATACTAGAAGTTTCGCAGCTGTTCGGAGGTGACATGAATTCCGAAGGCCTTCCCCAGTCAGGTTGCGGCTGGAGATGACTTCATATTTTGGTGTACATGGAGGCGATGAGCGAGAGCCAGCTCCTGCTTATCGTGGATTATCTTGGGTGTCTTTCGCCCTGGTACTCGTATCCATGTCTTCTCTCTGGGCAGCGAACTTTGCTGATATGTGACTCGGTCGAAATATCTTTTTTGCCCCCCCCCCTGTATACTGTGTTTATTAGTTACCAAAAATTCATATCAGCACCCCTATGAATGCATCAAATAAAGATGAGTGCTTAAACTTTCCCTCTTAACTGATCCTTGAATTTTAGCCTCCTCAATGGCGTCTACGTGGACATATTTGGATTTCGACATAAATATGCTGATGAGGGACTAGCAATACACTACATGGCTATGCAGCTGCATGAATACTACCAAAGTTCGTGCTGAAACCTTCTCCCTCTTACGCTCTGTTGACATTCAAATGTTGTGCGATTATATTGACAGTACTGCTTTCTCGCGAGTACTGGTGCTTTAAATGCAGTGAAGGAAGCATGAGCATGAGATGTACCTTGATACTGAGCTCATATCAATAGTCATGAGATGAGAGGAAGGGGTTCATATCTGATTTATTATTGGCTGAAACCAGAATTCATTGTTCAAGTAGCTTTTATTAGTATTCAGTAAGCTGAGTCCTAAAAAATATGACAAGAGGCCAGCCCTTAAACATACGTACAAGAGGCACTAAGCAGTATCTCTCCATTTGAAGCGCAGTCAAAAGGGAGCGGATCAAATGCATTACCAATTTCACCGTTATAACTTTGCAGGTCGATTGGATACGTACTTCGAGCACAAGCGGAAGTGGAAGGAGTTTCTGGCAGCGAATGAAACAATTCCAATCACAGTAATTGATTATTCAATTAGAATACTTGTGGGCCTAATCTCATAGTCAATAATGTTGATAAATGATTTTCTTCAGCGTGAAACTCGTGCCCTAGTTCGTGGAGGGATACCGAGCTCTCTTCGTGCCACTGTCTGGAGATTCCTAATACATCAAAGGGTCGCTGATAAGAAGGAACTGTATGGAAGGCACTACTTCAGAAATCTATGTAGCCTACAAGGAGGAGAACGTGACAACATGGTAAGGCAACCAGACAAATCGGTGACATCATACCACCAACAATACTTTGTCACGGGGTTGCGAACAATTTTCCCATCCAGTTTTGCCGGTTGAGACGGGCTGCAGGTGAAGTGAGTTGAGGTTAAAGGCACGGTCCGCGATCAGGTATCGAAGTTGAAATTATGGCGTCAGGAGGTTAGAGTGGTCCAGTGGAGTGGAACAACCTTGTACCGGTTTCGCGGCAAAAAATTCTATGGGAGGGGCGCTGTAGCGCAACATAAGCTCAGTGGCTCCTCCTCTTTTCCGGTGACTCCGCCTCCAGACCCCCCCCCCCTAATGACCGACTTCCAATGAAAAATGAGATTGCAGGACGAAAAAGCATGATAATCGCCACTTGTACGATCGTAGAAATCTTATCAGTGAATCAGCCGTGCATAGTCGGGGGGGGGGCGGGGGTACGTTTTGAGATAGAGTTGATTGGGCCGTACAAACTGGGATCGAAATGGGGTTTCATCTAGGGCAGGTGGCATGTGTTTTTTGTGCTTTTTTTGTTCACAGTCGAGTTTCTCAACCCCTTGTCGTCTATATGGAACCCCCTAATCCACCATCTAGGATGGCGAGTAATCGCGGGTTCTTTTAAAGACTGAACCATCTCTGAGAACAAATCTGCGAGCGAGGTGACCTAACACACAAATATGGACAAAGGAACGTTTAGTACTTATTGTAAGTAAAATACAATGGCTGTACCACAACAACAGCAGTCGAGGGGTAGCAAGTAAAAGAACGCAGAAGGTAGCAAGGATCAGGAACGATACTTGTATATGCGCCTTCAAGCCATAATGCATGATTAACGTCATGTTCGCTGCGATGCTGGGGCGTGTCAGATGGTTGGGTTTGGCGCGATGCCAGCCTGTTTTTCACTAGTTGTTATCGCTTGTTCCGCTTACAAATGGAGGAGAACTGGCTTGTGCAAAGCCCCACCATACGTAGCGAACGGGACTGTACCTGCAAGGTGAAGTCGTTCCCTACATAAAGGGGGCATGCCTGCTGCCACCCTTTCCGTGAGAATGGGCGTAGTAATGGTATGTGCGTAGTAATGATAGATGAATTTTTGAAGGTTTTTGGTTCTGTCTCCGCTGCTGCGGAAATTTAGCCATTGTATTGAGAACTACGTTTTGTCCTGTTATATTTCAGTTCTGCGCCAGTCATCAGAAACAAATCAATCTGGATCTTCTGCGGACAATGCCTAATAACGTCCACTTTATGTCTGCTAACTGCAAAGGGGTAAGAGCTTGAGATTTTTAACGCTGATCTGGACAAGCCACAATAAGGTCAAGCAAAGATCTTATTATTTGCATCTACCCTAACTGCTTTTCTAATTGCTTCAAGATGTAAAGGAGGGGGTAGAAGAGTCTGCTTCCCTACTTCTCCTCAATCACATACAGTAAGCTATACACTAGTTTCAGGTGTCTCAACTTCAACAGGTATTACGTGCTTTTTGTTTACACAACACCTCGCTTGGTTACTGTCAGGGAATGAATTTTCTGGCATCAACTGCATTGCTATTCACTGGACCCGAGGTACTAAACATTTGGCTTTTCCACTCATCCCAAACCCACTAATCTAATCCCGTCAGGACGCATTCTGGTTCCTCGTCGCTATGACAGAAAACTTCCACGACAAAAGCTATTTCGATGACAATCTTGCTGGAGCGCAAGCAGATCAGGTGCGATACTTTGTCACTGACTAACCTACGGTCATACCTCTGAAAAGGACTCCATCTTCTCTATCAGGGGATATCATCGGAAAATCCTCCTCAATAAGGGTAGAGGCACCTAGAAGTGGCCAATTGTGATGTAAACTGTACCATAATAAGTTTTTTGTCGCTGATATGAAACCTGCGAAATGATTAAATGGACGAACTTGAAAGTTTTCTACCATCACTCCATCGCGCACTCTAAACGATGCCTTTGTCTCAGGCAGCGTTTAGACTGCGCGATGGAGTGCTTCGACGAGCTAGTTTTCTAGGAGAGTACAGAAAATGAGTTTATTTTCGCAATAGCTACTCAATGCTACATACAATTTGCACGTAGTGCGAAAAGGCAATTTATATTTAAAAAAATGTGAAATGAGAGTTGTGCTTTTCTATTGGTTTTCATCGTCTTCACAAGGTGTAATTAGTGATAGTCACTGTTCAGGAAGTCCTGAAAGAGCTGCTGGAAACACACTTCCCTCTCATAGCTGCACATTTGAACTCTTTGGATATTGATCTGGCGACTATTACACTGAACTGGTTCTTGGCACTATTCTTCGATGCTGTTCCATTTAACGTGAGGAATTTCTTGTATAAACGAATTAAACGGTAATCCGTACTGCAATTATTTTTTATCTGCTTTATATATAGAGAGGATTGGGCTTTATGAATCCTTCGCGGAGTGCTTAGCAATCTAGCAGCATGAGCAGAATTTGTAAACATTGCTTCGGCTTAAAGACAGCTCCCGCGACAAAAGTCTTATGGATAGCTGCTTTCCAATTATGAAACAGTAGCTGATAAGTAATCTCCCAAAGAAGAAAACAGGCAAGAAGCCTCCTCTAGAACAACATAAACAAAACCGCTCCCTCACAGTCACACCTCCCTGCGGTCTCTGTGCAGCCCCTAGCTCACAAGTCTCTCTATCACATCTCAGTAGTTGATGACAAAAAAAAGATAACAAAAAGGAAAACAACAAAAACGCAGAGGGAAAACTCTTGGAAGGAAAAAGGAATTTCATCAACGCGGTGTATGAATTTGGGATTACGGTAGCGCACGTTTCGTGCGTCGAGGTTTGCATCACGAAAATTGCGTCACTCATGCTTTTTACGCGTTTCACCTCGCGAAATGAGTTGAATGTATATACCTCCAATGAGTAAACTGTAATAAGGGGGAGCAGAATTATCCATGGGCATTAGCAATGCCCGCCGCCCCAACTAAGAACAACTGAGTGACTTCGTCGGAGGACATCTAGCAGATAAGGCGGTCCAACTGAGCAGGCGTTAGAACTAGAACTTACAGCGGCTGTAGCTCGCTTCTCGCTCGCTGTCAGACGAATAGAGGGGGACAGTCTCTAGCCTGGGGGCGTGTACTACTTGCACAAGGAAGGACGACCATGTACTACTCGAGCGCGGGGGCTGTCTTTAAAGCAAACCCCGTGGTCCGGACATGGGGTGGGCGGGGCTGCGTGCTTTATTAGGACATCGCGCTGGGCTCCTCTTTCGTGGGATATCCCTTTAGAGATAACTTTTTGTGCTGGACAATGGCATGACTTCGTTGCATCAAAACGAGAATATCCTAACAGAACTGTGGCCGCCACCACGTTCAAATAAAGCATGCAACCACTCCCTCCTCTGATCTCAGGGATACGGAATGTACTCCACAGTGACTAACTGACTAACTGCTCTCATTTTTTGATCATTCGTAAAAAGCTAATTTTCGTCGGGCAACTAAGCGATGAATTGGATCCTGATCTAATGCAAATGCAATGTCAACAAATTGCTGGGTCGATCAAAGCAGTTCAAAACAAAAGCAATTGAAATGCCGAAAATTATTTTTGATGAATTCACTTGAAATAGTTTTCCGGATGGTTTATCTCTCTTACAGACTCTGTTGCGTATATGGGACTGCTTTCTTCTTGAGGGACCAAAGGTTCTGTTCAGATTCGCTCTAGCTTTACTTGGTGAGTACGCTAGATTTGGAAAATTTTCTTTGAAATGCCCAGGCAACTGTAGATCCCATGCGACCAAATTCACTGATAAGCGGGCGCGGGGCACGTATTGCTCTTCTATTACTCTGTTCCAAACCAATGAACGCGAAATCTTTAGCTGGGCTGAAGTAGATTCTATTTCCCTAAAGCTTCGTAGATAAGTTCGCGATTAAATAGGTCCGTGCAGCATCGCGATCGTTACGCGAACACCTACCAGACGTTATAATGTGAAACCAACCAATGGAGAGGATAAAAGCGACTTCGCAAGCGTAGTGGATTAAGCAACCGCCCCATTAGTGAGAGGTGCGGGTTGGAGTCCCGTCGTCTGGCGTTGCCCATAACTCAGCACTTCTGTGAAACCGAGTGTTCATTTCCAAAATATGTGATTTTGTAAGAGATCACATGAATTCAGAGATAGCAGCCAGGTTCAGAGAAGCAGCCGGGTTCAGAGAT